TACTTCACTCCCTCGCTCTGCCTTTCTCTCTCTCTCCCGCTCTCTCCCTCTCTCCCCCCCCCTCTCTCTCTCTCTCTCTCTCTCTCTCTCTCTCTCTCTCTCTCTCTTCCGCGGAGGTCACTTCTGGCGCGTCGCGTCCCCGCGCGAGACCGCGTGATGGTGACCCCGTCGGTTGGCGCTCGCGTGGCCCGAGGGCGATGGCTGTGTGGGTGCGAGAGCGTTAGCGCGCTTACCGGCGGCGCGGGCGCTGAAAAAAACCCGGCATGACAACCAAATTGAATCCTAGTGAATCTTCTTGACGATCTCCCTACCCTTCCCCGTGCCTCCCTTCTTCATCTCTGAGAAGGTAGGAAGGTTGACTTGCTGCTGCACCAACTCCATGTCTCTAGCCTTACCGGCCTAGCGCTTGAAGATTGGGTGCAAAGGTATTCCTAATGGATTCAGGCATGACCTTCGCTAGCTGGAACAGCGCCTGCTCATTTGTCACGCCATGTCCAGGAACTTGGAATCCATCCATCTTCCAAATGAGGGGATCTACACTACGCCAATATTTATAATATGGTCCCCTGCAATCCGCCCCTGGTTCTTGTCTTGGAACCGGTCGACAAACTCATGGAGGAAATCATATAGGGACAGGGTCTTGCAATAAGCATCGATTCTGCCTCCGTACCCAGCTGCATGCACCTGGCTCATCACCCATGACTTCGCCTCCCCCTTCAACGCCATCGTTGCAATTACTACCCGGTCTCAAGGGTGGACTCTTTCTATATTCATATAGGTGCAAATTTGTGCAACCGCGGTAAGCAAATCTTCTTCCTTTTTGCCTGAGGGTCTTGCAACTTCATTCTTACCCTCTGCTCATAAGGCGCCCTGTAGTGCGGTCTTTCTTCCTCCTCCTTCTCGGTCCTCCTTTGTTGCCATCTCCATCTCTATCGCGATCTCTGTCTCCACCTCCTACTCCATCTCCCCTTTCCTTCACTTTCCTTACGACTTCATCCATCTTCTCCTCCATCTTTTCCTCATGCCGCTTCAACCTTTCTTCAACTATTGCCATCAATTCTACAATCTGGTTGGCAAACGCGAGAGCGATATGCTCCATCTGCTTCTCATTGACATTCTGCTGCCATCTTTGCAGCTCCTGGATCTACGGTCGAGTGGCCTCTGCATCTTCAGGCCCCCTTATTGCAGTGGCGGCAATCTCTTCCGACTCTTCTGCTATTTTCTTCGCTTCCAGGTCCTTCTTGACCTTGTTCGCCTCTGCCTTGGCCCTGGCCAGTTCCTGCTCTTGCCTCCTGGCCTTCTCTTTCTCCCCCTTGACCCACAATAGGGCCTCTATCAAGTGCTGTTTTTCAGTCTCCATCTGGCTTCTGCGTGTGGTGACAGACTGCAACCGCTCGGACAGGGGCTGCTGCATGTACACAAGGGGCTCTGCAGGTGCCAACTCAGGAGGACAAAGGACCTAAACTGAGCGGCTTTCGTCCAATCCCTGAATACCATAATCAAGCTCTGCAGGGATAAAGACATGTACACAAGGGGCTCTGCGGGTACCAACTCTCTGACAGATAGATGACACCCCCTTTGTCTCAATCAACTCCAACACGACTCAGGAGGACAAAGCACCTAAACTGAGCGGCTTTCGTCCAATCCCTGAACACCACAGTCAAGTGCCTTATACACACAGCCATGTCTATACATACTGATTGGTTCCCCAAAGGCTTCACTGTGAGAAGCTCGAACGCCAATGGCCTTGGAAACATACTAACAAATGAGGATAAAATGAATGAAATTCAATGAATTCTTTATCGGTTTGAGAATAACAAGAAGGTCCCAGCCTGCAGCTCCCCTGTGATGAAGGCGGCAATCTGTAGCACAATTTCCTCCTCCTTCAGCGCCCCTTCCTTCTTCTACTCCACCTGCTGCTTCCTCTTCAACCCTTCTTCTTCTTCCCTTTCTTGATTTGTCCTCCTCTTCCCCTTCTTTTCCATCTTTTTTCTTTTCTCCCTCAGTGGAGCCCTACATTACCTCCTCCTTCTTCTCCTCGTCTTTCTTCTTCCTCTTTTCTTCCCTCTTCTTCTCTTCTTCCTCCTTCCTCTTCTCAAACTCTTCTTCTCCGGGCCATGGAATCTGTTTCCCGCATTGACTTTCCATTGGGGCCATCCGACTGCGGTGATGTACAACAGTCAGTCAGGTAAGACCTCCCAGCAAGAATGTGGTCACACTGCTCTCTTACAGTAACAAGCACTGCACCACCCAGCTCGCCAGCACCATGATGGCGAGTGCCTAAGAACCAGCTCCAATACCAAATTGCTAGGAAATAAGCAATGTGAACAACAATTAACCATATTGCAACATCTGGCAGAAGACCGCAGAAGACCAGACATTATTGAGCCGAAATTGAAAGCAGTAATCAAAGTGAGATGCACACCAAATAGGAACGAGCAAAACACCGAAGTCTCTTGATAAAGAAAGCCCTTCCAACGCCTCCGGTCATCAATGCAACAACACTGTAGCCCTCCTATAGACGTCCTGGACGCCGACCCTACCACCTATTGCTCCATTCAATCTAGTCTACCTACACCAACAACAAGTCGACGAGTCATCAGCCCAATGCCGCTTGAAGACTCTGATCGAAAAGCCTGGCTTCGTCAACACCGTGTACGTGCTTCGTTCACACCACTTCTCTCTCTTGTTGTCCATCCCTCTATCCACCAAGGACCTCTGCAACAGCTTCCCACAGGCACAGCGCTCAGCTACTGCTCCAGCAGGGCTGCTGCAGTGGCACAATGCCCGAATGTGCGAGTCTGGGCGGCCTCCAGTCTTTTGTACTGGATGGAGAGGATGACGAGGCTGCGCCCAGGCTGTGCCCTTTCCCAGTTGCCCTGCGCCTGGGCCCTTCCAGAATGTGCACGCATGGCCAGCATCTGCAACGAGCTTGTGGGCTGGGCCTCCCGGTTAGTTGAAGATGCTGCATGTGTGCTGCAGCTACCCTGGGCCCCTTTCTGATCACAGTCGCGTGTTCTCAGGCCCAGCTGCATTTTGGGAGGCCCACCTTCATTTGGGGTGGGTAGGTCCTGTTTTTGGTTTACCCGAGGTCTTGAATCCCCGCACTGCATAGAAACCGTCTATCTCGACATCATTTCCTTCTTTCTCTCCCTCTTTTTCTCCGCCCCTCGTGGTTTCATCAGCTAATACATTGTCTACCATTTGTCTGTCTACCATTTGTCTATCCACCTTGAGTGCTATGAGTCCCCCGTCTTCCCTATCTGTTGATATTCCTTCCTCCCTTGCTTAGCTGTCCACATAACGTACAAGCAATCACCTCAACCTGCTTCACTGTCTTCCCCATCCTTCTGCCCCAGAAGTGGTATTACTGATACAACCCCCTTTCACTCCCTGACAGAAGAATCTGGTATACTCATCGACGCGGAATCGATGCAATGCAACATAATACGACTGAGGTATGTTCTCACTTCATCTGAGACGGAAATTTCTGCACTAATTAGGAGCGGAATTTTCAAAGAGGATGACAGGCATGTATGGGAATGGAGACTATGGACGTTATCAATATTCTCCAAAATCTGTCATCGTCAGAGAGACATAGTACAGTGGGGTAACAAATTGGTTGAAATTGTGATCAGTGTAAGGACCTGCCAAACATGGACTGAGACACACAGCTGATTTCTGAGTTAAGCCAATGGAATGTATGCTTTGCTGAGATTCCCGTTTGTTGCTGAGTTTTCTAAGTCTGTGTGTGTGCGTGTTTGACGGTCTGCATGTCTGTCTGAGTGATTGTCGGCTTGAGTGTGTGTGTGACCCGTAAGGGCACTTGCTCGTTTGGGAGGCCCGAAGGGCCGGTACTTACCTGTGGCCGTGACTTTGAGGGTTGCAGCAGGGAAAACACTCAAGTGGCGAGAGTAGGCCCACGACACTTAGGGCAGTGGGGAAAAGCACTGAAGTAGCAGGTAGGCCGGTACCACACCAAGTAGCAGTAGATGTGTCGGGTACTCGAGGCTGAGCAGAAGAAGAGAAAAGTTTGCATTTCTAGAGGCCCAGTAGTTGTAGGCTACGTCTAGGCGGGTACCAGTCCAACTAGTCTGAGTCTAGGGCCTGTACGGGCAATATCAGAGTCTGCAATGATGTTTCCCTCCGAAAAGGAGGAGGTACTGGTTGCTTGGAGGCCGCGCGGCCTGGAAGTCACCGCCCAAGAGGCAAGCAGGCCGCTATATCTCCAGGAGGACCAAAGAGCTCCTCCTCATTCTACGGTGTGCAAGTTTGACGACACGCTGCTTGGAGTGCTGGCTGGAGCAGTGCTGCTGGGGAGGAAGGAGCGCCCAGCTCCCCACCGTGGCTATGGTGGAGCACGGGCTGGAGGAGGAGGAAGACGAGGACTAGGAAGGGGGAGCAACAGAGGTACTTACCTGGCTATGGTGGACGCTATCTTCATCACCTTGGTGGGCGCTGCATCTGGAAACCCCCGGTTGGGGTAGAGCTACACCAAGAAGCTCCGAGGCAGAGTCAGGCATGTTGGCCTGAGCTAGAGCAGCCATAGCTGCTTTGAGTTGTCTTTTGCACATCAGGGCAAGGCCCTCGCAGTCCGCCATATCCTCAGCCTTCAGGAAGAGGAAGGAGAAAGGTGGCCATGGCTATGGTGGACCTCGTGTTGTACCTGCAGTAGAAGAGGGATTTGGACATTGATTCTGGGTCAGCCATTCAACATTAATATTATTATATATTGTGAATAAAGGGAGGAGAAAAGGAGGAGGAGAGTGGTTGGCGAGAAGAAGGGAATTATCATTGGTCTTTGCTGGTGTACATCTTCTTCTTCTTCTTCTTCTTTCCCTCTCTCTCCTCTTCATTCATTTCTTGTTGTAATTGAACGGCATTATGCTTTCTCATGAATTTGTACTTCAGAATTGGCCACGATCATGACATCAGCTAGAAAAGGAATGTTAAAGTAGTGTACTCATGTGGTTTACCGCTCGTTTATGAACTATATGCAGGCATGGCTGATGAACTTGTAAAATTGTTCGATGATGAGGATGACTTCGTACGGGAGCACGCTGCTTTGACTTTTATGCATACTGCAGGTGAAAGAATGGGCTCAGTCCTCATCCAGTTCTTGAGGACTTTTTTTTTGGAGAGGATGGAGAATCACTGCACAATGTGCTGAGGTCTGACTCAAATGCAAATGAGATTAGGAATAAGAGATATTGATTCATTGTTTCACATTTCCACCTCCTCATAATGATGCTGTGAAGGTTGGAAACCATGGTGACACCAATCCCGATACCCGGTGGATAGTGTCTGGACATCTGGATCTGATCCACTCCAGGGGTTGCACCAACAAAAAAAACACCCTTCTTCGCTTTCAGAATCCTTTTCTCGAATTTCATTCAATACTTGGGCCTGACTGTCAGCCATAATTCTTTTGTAGTACCTGCAGGTAGATGAACAGTACGTCTGTACATATTCGTCAACAGCTTAACCCCCAGCACCTTAAAAGCCCTGTGACCAAGCTGCGTTCTCTCTGCTAGGTTTTACGAGGCATTGTATGGGAGGAACCATCAGATCAAGATCCAATGGACCTTCTAGCTTGAGCGAATTTTCAGCACAACCAATTTGTGGCATCTCGGTCAGCAGCAGGCACTGTTGCTTCAGTAGTTCAAAGGTTGCCTGACCAGTAACATTATGGGTCGATAGCCTCCAAAAAAAAAAGACACATTATGACACATACAGTTTTCATGCTGAAATCTTCGACTTCATTTGCAACATGCATACATACAGGTGTCGGTGGCACAACAACTTTCTCGAAGTAGAATCAGCAACAAGAGTGGAATGGCGCAGTGCGCCCTCACAGAAAACTCAGAGATATGGCCCTCAGCCAAGGACTCAGTTCAAGTCAACTTGTCACATCTTGCAGCTATGGCATCTGAGCGCCAGTCTGAATTCCCACTTTCACACTATATCCACCATCTGACACACCCACACTCACTCACACATGTGCACACACACTAGGATCTACCCTGAATGTCCACACACATACACACAAACGCACACACAAACACACACACACACACACTAACTACTGACTCTGTCACACTGGTGGCTGTGGCCGCCGTCGTCTTCCTCCTCACTACCGGCTATGGGCGCTCACCCTCTTCCACCTTCGGGCTTCTTGCTGACCACCGGCGAACTTCGACACACAAGTCACTCGGGCAGAACTTCCACGTAGTCCACCAGATAATGAGTGAATGACTGATCGCTGCCTCTTTATTTATACTGTTTCGTTTGGTGGTCTGGGCATGCCGATGTCCCAGGCCCTCAAGATGTGCAGTCCCACTCTGGTACTTGCTGCTGGACTGGGACTGTCTGTACTTTTGCCCCTTCGGGGCTGGGCTGGGGACTCTTGACCTTTCAGAGGCCGATGGGCTGCCTCCTGGCACTTCGAAAGGTCAAATTGACGCTTCGAGTACTGTCTAGACTACGACTGACTGACCTTTCAAAGTCGTAGAGCTAGACCTACGGACTGACATTAAGACTGCTCATAGACAGATCTACAGTTCATCTCCACACAACCCAAGCTAGAACACAAAACATTTGTACACGTTTCTAGGGGCAGGTTGAGGGTTCAAAGCACACAGGGTCAACGGGCGTCTGTACAATGGGTTAGGCCAGGTCTAGGGATCGAGTCCTGGCATCTGCGATTGTCGCGCAAACTGGGTGAAAACCTTTCAATGCAGTTTTTTGTCTGAGAAATCCGCATTTCTTTAAGAAAGTCTCTGCCTTTGAGCTTTTTGCTGAGATTTCCAAGTTAGGTCTGTTTTGCTGTTTTTTGTGAGTCTGTGTGGCCTGCTGATGATGTATGTATGCCGTGTGCTTGTCCATAAGATATCTCAGTTGAAGTCTGTGCTCGTGTGCTAATCCTTTTCTCCCGTGCTGTGGTTCTGCATATTGGATAAGGGTGGTTTGTTATGTGCCTGATTGAGAAACAATCCACACTCAACTCACACGTTCCCATACTCACATGCAATTGCGGAGCAGGTTTGGAGAGAGAAAATCCACACCAAACCAAAGATGAGATATGCACAACAGAAGCTCAAACCCCAAAATTGAATTGAGTTAAATGATCTTAAATCCAATTCTGATTATTACCATCTCTCCCCAAATCAATCAACAGCACTGAAATCCAAGGATCCCAACCGCGTTTCAACAACCTCGAAATTAATTGGAGCCTTCTTCTTCCTCCTCGCCACCTCACAACCCTGGCTATGGCTGCCGCAGCAACCAACACTCGACACCATCACCCTGGAGCAATATCTGAACTAGCACCCCAGTCAAGTGGAGCATGTCCAGCGCCCTCACGGAAGTACAGCGCTCATGTTCCTGATGAAGAAGGAGAGCCACCAGACACTTTGAAGAAGACGAAGTTCCCCTTGAAGGAGAACAACAGATATGGCTGCCCAATGATGATGGCAGCGTCCTAACCCTACAGCTCCACAGTGGAGAGTACCCTCAGTGCCTGAAGCCTTGCTTCAGCGCTGGCAAATACAAGCACGATCGGCCCCAGCTATGGCCGTCAGTCACCTCCATTGATGAAGATGGCCACACAGGTAGAATAGCACAGCTTCACCTCACGCCACTCTTCCAAACCACAACCAAAAACAACAGGAAAAGAAACAGACTGAATTCCCTGCCAAAGTATTCCTACCTCACGACCTACCGGAACCCTCCGACTATGAAAGACACAACAGCTACCGGTACCTGTCCATTCACAAAAAAACAGAAACGGGCCTGGGACAACGATATTTACAGAAACAAGTGGACCCGCCGCAGCGAAGGGCAATGAAAAACGAAATTTGCGAAACAGGAAGGGAATTTGTACATGTAGCTGCGAGGGGGATAAGAGGAAAATGTCAGTGCAAAAGGATATTCGACTGTGGTGAGATCTTCTCTCTCTCTCTCTCTCTCTCTCTCTCTGTCTCTCTCTGTCTCTCTCTGTCTCTCTCTCTCTCTCTCTCTCTCTCTCTCTCTCTCTCTCTCTCTCTCT